CAAAGGAGTCTCAGAGCGGCTTACAAACTCCTTCCCCTTCCCCTCCGCACAACAGACACCCTGTGAGGTAAAAGAAGGAGAGATTGGATTTATACCCCACCCTTCACTACCCAATGGTGTCTCAGAGCGGCTTACAAACTCCTTCCCCTTCCCCTCCCCACAACAGACACCCTGTGAGGTAGAAGAAGAAGAGATTGGATTTATACCCCACCCTTCACTACCCAAAGGAGTCTCAGAGCGGCTGACAAACTCCTTTCCCTCCCCCTCCCCACAACAGACACCCTGTGAGGTAGGTGGGGCTGAGAGAGCTCTGACAGAAACGGCGCTTTTTTCAAGAACAGCTCTTATCAGAACTACGGCTTGTCGAAGGCTATCCAGCCAGGTGCAAGTGGAGGAGTGGGGAATCGAACCCGGTCCTCCGAGATTAGAGACTGCGCACTTAACCACTACACCAAACTGGTGCACTTAACCACTACACCAAACCACTACACCAATTGAGACATCTGGGTGCTCCAAGTGGGCACGACAGCCGTCTGACATGACCTGGAGTGGTGGTGGGGGGGGAAGGCGGGGCGGTGTGTGCGCATTGGTAGCAACAATATCGAAATGCATTGACAGAAACACGATTCCTATGGCACCTGAAAGAGAAACGGGATCTTCTGCAGGCGGAAGATCACTCTGTAATTGAGGAAGTCGACTCCAGACCCCAGAAGCTTATGCCATGATAAGTGACAGCCCTAGATTCGAGTCCAGTAGAGCCTCAAAGGCCAACAAGATTTCCAGGGCATAAAGTCTCAAGAATCAAAGCTGTATTCATCAGATGCAAGTAGAACTGGAGATCCCTGAGCCCTTATATCCCAGTCTGGCCCTATTGGTGGACCTCCTGAGGGCACCTGGGTTTTGGCCAATGTGTGACACTGGGTGTTGGACTGGACGGGCTATTGACCTGATCCAACATGGCTTCTCTGATGTTCTTACGTCTGGGGCAGTGAGGCTCTGTATTCTCGGTGCTTAGGGGACAACAGTGGGAGGGCTTCTGGAGTTCTGGCCCCGCTGGTGGACCTCCTGAGGGCACCTGGGTTTTGGCCACCATGTGACACAGAGTGTTAGACTTGGATGGGCCATTGGCCTGATCCAGCATGGCTTCTCTTATGTTCTTATGGAGGGGTGTTGCAAAGAGGGAAGTCGGGATGCAGAGGTACAAAGCAGAAAATTATCATCTGTAGTGAGATAAGATTCCTGTGTCCCTCTTCAGCGGGGGTGGGGGGAGGGGGACTCAAGTAGGATCTCCATGTCTATCTGTGTCTGACAAAACGAACTTATGAGGCGGCCCCCCTGCGCCCTACCCACCCATTCTATTTACTGTGCAATGCGCAGGTACTCTCGTCTCTGAATTGGTGGGAATTTGTCCACTTGCGAAAACAAGTACATCTGAGCGCCCATAGAGGTCAAAGTCTCTGAAAGAATCTAAACTGAATTATCGCCCTCTGCTGATTTATGTATAGAGATGAATTTTAATTTTCACTGCATTATGTCTTAATACCTTTTAAATTGTTGTATTTATAAGCTGTGAGCCACCCTGAGCCCACTTGTGAGGTTCGGCAGGACGTAAATCAGATCAATCAATCAATACAAGCTCATCCCCTGGAAATCTTATTCGTCTTGGTGGATTCGAACCTTGCTGCTCTACTGCAGACCAAGACGGCTACCCTCTAAAACCTCAACCGTGGTGAATGTGTAGATTTTTAGCAAGCCGCTGGACGTCTTGTTGTAAAGACACACATTAGAGGAGAAGCCCTATCATTTCTAGATATGTAAAATTTCCGGAAATGTTGAAGCTCGGAAAAACCCCCGGGTTTTTTCGGTGGGAAATGGAAATTTTCGGAAAAATTGAAAAAAATGCTACATTAGCATTTCTTTTGTCTTTTCTAGATTGAAAGTCATTCTGTTACTTTAGGAACATAACATATGACTATGGGCATTTTTACTTGGCATGAAATTATCACAACTAGCATATTAAAAATATAGTGTATCCAAACAATTATGACAAACAGAATACCCACCCACATGCAAAAACAAAACTGAAACCTTTTTCTTTTCTTCTGACAATCGCGCCTCCTAAAGGAAGAAATGCATCTTGTTCTTGCATTGGAGAGTTCAGTTTGTAACCTAGGACTTGCTTGTCCGCAGTGCAGAGAAATTAGATCAATCTGATACCATATATATATAAAAGAAATGATTTGGAAAATATTTGAACACCTTGTCTTAAAATATTTTATTCATCATATTAAAATAAAACGTTCCATAATCAATTTTTTTCTTTTCTTTAGGGTTTTTTCCGAATTTTTCTGGGCCTTCACATCTCTAATCACTTCTGATAACTTCAGACTGTGAGCCCACAGTACTCTCTTACACCTGTGAGTGTGGTAAGCTGACCAGTTGCCTGCCTACGGTGGCAACCTCTTCCCCGCTTCCCCATCGCTGGCACTATGTGATGTCACTTCTGGGTCGTCACCTGAAAGTGGTGTTGTGGCACCCGTGCTGCCCCCACCTCCCGAGGCTCCACCTGCAGGTTAAGAATCAATCAGGAAACAGAGGAAGCCACCTGACTTTGTATACAGCAGGCAACGTGAATAATAGATTGTTTACCGGAGTCCTGAAATGATTTTCGTCTCGAGGACTCACGTGGTCTTCAGCAGCAATACTCTGGAGCATTGTTTCTTAACTGCTTTTAGAATTGTCCTCTAAGTTCTCACCATTCCCTTTGAATTTTCAGTTTGGAGATAAATGGAGGCCCACCTGCTGTTCCGGTACACATACAAGGTAAACCGTGTCCATGTGAACGCCTCAGACAGCTCCAGATGAGGATTGTCCTGATAGCTGCTCCACTGCACAGGATGCAGTGCTTACACCAAACCCCTCTAATTAGTTACAAGCAAAGGGCAAAGGAAGTGCTTTTCCACGTTCCCATTTTCCTCGCTTGTGCATTTGCTTCATGGTTTTGTATGTCCGGCATAAAAACCTGCCATTTAAATGTGCAGGGAGATATCCCGGACATAAAGCCATGGAATATCCTTCTGGCCACTAGAGGGAGTAAAACACACACAGAAAAAAACAACACGCCTGAAGCAACAGGAAGACATAAACAAGGAAAAGCCCAAAGATAAGCATGCTTGAATCTCACTGGCTCCGCTGGGCTGCACACCTGTTTCTGAAGATGCGTATGGTCTGATCAAACGCTCAAATAAGTGATCAGTCACTGGTTACAGATCTCTGGGCTGGGGTGAGCGGGTGGTTGAGGCAGCCCTTCATGGAGTTAGAGGTGACCTTCATGGGAAGGCTACAGGTCAAAACTTCCTACGTGTGCCAGGGGAAGCAACTTCACACTTCTTTGTATCCCATGCCGTTATTCCTTCCCAGCAACGGGAACTGGATACCCCCCCCCCCCGACTGGTACGTGCGCTGCCTTCAGAGGGCCAAAAAATCAGTGGAACTTTTCTGTACAAGCAACCATTTGTCTCATGGATTCCAGCAGCTTAACTTCCTGTAAATTAGATACAGTCTGCTTGTTTTAAGTAGGCATTTCAGTGTTCCCTCTAAGCTGAGTTTGTGTGAGCCAGCTCACAGGTCTTTAGCCTCCAGCCCACACATTTCTCTTAGCTCAGGAAGGAGGGTTCCAGAGCAAACTAATTTATGCAGCGGCCCAATCGCTTGCTCACAACTTTAATGCCACTAGCTCACCAAGTAGAATTTTTGCTCACAAGACTCCACGGCTTAGAGGGAGCATTGGGAGCAATGTTCTTAGACTTCATCCAAAATTGAAACTCCTCCCCCCAACATTTACAGTGCCATCCTAAGAATAATTTCCTGGGAGTAAGCCCCACTGAGTAGACCTGCTTAGGATGGAACTTTTCGTTTGTGTTCTTTTATCCCACCCTTTTCCTTCAGTTTGCAGAAAGCCATGAACGGGAGCCCTCCTGAACTCCTTGGGTAGGCCATTCCGGGGGGGAGGGGGGCCCACAGTGAAGAAGGCACATGTACGGACAATTGTTTCGTCCGTTGGCAGGCTGGCACCAGTGGAAGGCCCTGCTCCAATGAGCTAAACTGTTGCGGCTTTTGCTTGTATAGTGGCCCTCCATACTGCAAGCTTGTGAAACTTGGGTGGGGGAATTGAAAGCAATATGTGGACAGGACCCAGGAGCACGGTCCAAAGGGGGGGGGAGGGAGTCAAGCACCCTTGATGTCAAACCTCCGAGAATGGTAGCTTCTGGTTTTAGAGGCCGACATTTGTGATGTCACACAAGTGTCTGACACGATCTCCAGATGGCGCTTCTTAGTCTAGTTTAGAGGAGGGGCTGTGGCTCAGTGGCAGAGCGTCTGCTTGGCATGCACAAGGTCCTGGGTTCAATCCCCCGCATCTCCAGGTACAAGGGTCTTGCGGTAGGTGATGGGAAAGATCTCTGCCTGAGACCCTGGAGAGTCAGTGCCAGTCTGAGTAGACAATACTGACCTTGAGGGACCACGGGTCTGATTCAGTAGAAGGCAGAGTCATGTATTGGGGATGGCCCGTGGCTCAGTAGCAGAGCACCTGCTTGGCATGCTGAAGGTCCCAGGTTCAATCCCCGGCATCTCCAGATAAGATACTGGCAGTAGGTGATGGGAAGGAACTCTGCTAGAGGCCCTGGAGAGCTGCTGCCAGTCTGAGTAGACAATACTGACCTTGAGGGACCAAGGCTCCGATTCAGTATAAGGCAGCTTGATGTGCTGGGGATGGCCCATGGCTCAGTGGCAGAGCATCTGCTTGGCAAGCAGAAGGTCCCAGGTTCAATCCCCGGCATTTTCAGTTAAAAAGACTAGGTAATAGGGGATTTAAAAGACCTCAGCCTGGGACCTTGGAGAGCGGCTGCCAGTCTGAGTAGACCATAGTAACCTTGATGGACCATCACTGTAAGGCAGCTTCGTGTCTCTGAAAATAATTTTTACCTCCATTTTGCAGATAAATCACAGGAAGGTGGTGTCAAAGTGTACAAATCCAGGTTTCACCCGAAGGATTCCCTCTTTTTAGTCCCCACGACCACTCACCTCATGGGAAGATTCAGGATGCCAGAGAAGCCCCGCATCCCCCCCTCGGGGCACTATCAACCTCCACACACCACAGCCTCCGACCTCATCCAAGTCGTGCGACCCAGAATCGTTGACATTGGCGCCCTCCGGTGCAACGCGCCTGGAAAGAAATCTTAAGCACGGGCAGCTACAGAGGACCGAAGCAGCTGTTCTCGTCCTTAATTTACAATTTGAAGGGGGGAGGAATGACCACTCTGTCCATAACAGGTTTGTGCAGTGATGGAAAGAGAGTACCTGTCTATTATTAAAGTAAGGATTCGGTGCCATCGTAGGAAATAAAAGCACTGATCATGCATTTCAACATTGGTGTCCAAAATTCAGCTTCTGTGAGGTAAGCGCTTGTTGTCTTTCATACAGGGCCAGCCCAAGGTTTTTTTCCCCGCTAGGTGAAGATACCTTCTGGCGCCCCCCCCCCCCATGTCCCCCAATTTCTGGCACACCCCCTTCTGGCGCGGCGCCCCCCCAAGGCCGGGGGATGGCGCCAAGGTTGTCTAGAGCGGCGGCAGCTGTGGTTCCTCCCCGGTTGAGGGTCCAAGCCCCCTGTTGCCATGGTCAGGGAGGAAAGCTTCAGTACGTGGGAAGCAAAACGCCTGTCTCTGCATGAAGATTGGGGGGGGGGTGTCATAAAGGAGAAAAGAATGGGCCGGGGGAAGGACGGCCCCAAGTAGCTTTGGGCACAGATCGCGATCTGGGCGGCCTCCAAAGACATACCGGAGCAAGCGCCGCTGGAGGAGGAGCTGCTGGTGCGGGGAGGCACTTGCTTGTTCGCCACGCTGCTCCGGTCGTGCGCCCTGGCTGATCCGCAACAAGGTACTGGGTCGAGGACGAGAGCCTGCCATGCTTCTTGCCACGCCTCAACTTCTCAGCCGAGGACTTGCTGCACCGTGAGGGAAGGGAGGGGAAGGGAGGGCGGGCGGCAGGCAGGCCAGAACGGTGCCCTTGTCAAGCTGGTGCCATAGGCAGCTGCCTAAATTTTGTCTATGACAGGCCGGCCCTGCTTTCATAACACGGGGATCCTGCCTACAGAAAGAGAAGGGAGTGTTCACCAGGCACCGTACCTGATAGTACAGTGACTGGATTCTGTTGGTAGATTCGGGGGCGGGGGGCAGCCATGTTGGTCTGAAGCAGCGGGACGAAGTCTGAAAAAAATGAACCGGTGACGTACTACCAAGCGCTGGAGTCTATAAAGGCGCTTGAACGTTTAAACATTGAATTTATTCAGCGCAGGATTGCTCATGTGCACAAAGGCGGAAGCTTGGGGGGGGGGACTTCATCGCACGAAGGACGGTCAGACGACCGTAATCGCAATCTTTGCGAGAGATGGCTGTCCAGATAGGCAAAATCGCAGATTCAATGTGCAAGTGCCCGGAAAGTACTTGATTTTCCCGGTGTCGGAAAACTCGCTAGGGAACCGGGAGGATCACGCGAGTGGGCCCGCTTCGGTGCGGGAGGCGGATCCGGCCTTCTGGTCAGCAATTTTAAATGCGAGAGGGAACAGCGGTGAAACCTGATCAAAATGACCGTGTGACCATGGCCCTAATCTCCAAATGGGCAGTGCAAGACCCTGCGGGATAGAGATTGCTGCTGAGCAGGGCTTCCGGTGTTCATGAGCAGCCACTCATGCGCTCAGCTTAGAGGGGACACTGCATACAGACTTTTCTTTCTCCTTTTCTTGCTCTAGGATGACAAGATGAAAAAGAGGGAAGATCTACAATTTTTTTTTAAAAAAGTTGTGTAGAAGGCAGAATTTCATGTTGCACCTCTGCTACACACCTATATGGGCATCTTTTACATTCTGCCCCTTTAAAAGAGAAAAAAATCTGAATGACAACAAAAAGAAAACGGTGATTAACCACGTCAGATTCTGGGCTTCATCCATTTTGAGGCCCGCGCCACCAGCTACAGAGTAGTAGCGTATTTGAATACGTAAGCATAAAAGCAACCGGTATGGAATCCTCAGCAAAGAGTTGCCACATGATTTGATGGCAACAACACTCCCCTTTCACAAATATTTGAAAACTGTCATCTATTACATTGTCAGATTTAGTTTTGGCACTCTGATAGCGGCTTTTTCGACTTGCTCTGAGATATCAGTTCCAAGAGGAGCTCTGAAATGAAAGTTAAAAAAAAAAGAATAACCTTTCATTATTGTTTCTTATTTCACAATATTCTGATCATGTTACAAATTCAGGGTTACACAAATCAATAAGCCTATGTCACAAGTAGCTATGTGCTTAATTCCTGCACGTTTTACAAAGGCAAGTAGGAATGGATGAAGTAACCCAGTACCTCATTTCTAATTCTTTTATCTTCAGTCCCATAAAAACTGAACTGTCATTCTCTGGTTGGATCCAGAGATGTGAGAGGAAAAGGACTTTGTGCAGTTCCACTTGTGCAACAGACACACACACAACACCTTGATATTCATTTTTAACAAAAAAAAATCAGTGGGCATATGGAGTAATGAATTGTAAAACTGGCAGTTCACATGACTTCATTTCATTTACTTTTGAAACGGCATTGGAAGAAATACTTTGTGCTAAGTCTTGTGCCAACGGAAAAGATAATGGGCATGTAGCGTACAGTCCTAAGAACATTTTCCCGGGACCCGGGACTGAGTGAGCCCCACTAAACAAAATGGGAATTATTTCTGCGTAGACATGATTAGGCATACTCCCACAATCAGTTTCACTTCATGCAAGCAAACCGCGAGGAGTGGTTCTGGTTTTGGCATCTATGTTGATGCAAGAGCTGTTGAACACATAGAAATCCAACCTAACGTAGCGATTTGTCTTTGCTAAACAGCGACAGTAAAGTATTATTGTACTATTATTTATGATTCATGCTTTTCAAGGTTGCTGTTTTTATGGTGCCCACCAAATATTCTCAGAAGGTGGGTGGGGCCAGGTAAGGCTCTTACCCAGCAGAGTTTCTGAATTGCCAACAAAGAACTGATTGGCTATACAGATTAAAATCATGTTATTTCGGTGGCAGCTGCCACCACGACGCTTCTTTTATTATATCCCACCCCTCGTTCCAGTGCACTTTTTATTACCCCTCTTCTCCCCTGCATTTGGGCTTCCTCTCCGTGTGTGGCTCCACCTCTTCAAGCATCCATTTTGTGGCTGGCTCCGCCTCCCGTGGCAGCCATTTTGTGGTTGCACTCACCACCCTGTGTCAGAATTCCAGCCGTGTCCATGGGCTGAAAAGGCTGGGGACCCCTGGTCTATGGCCACTAATTTTTCGGGGTTGGATTTTACTGCTTGGAAACAGAGCATCTTGGTGGGCTTTCCCTGCCCTCCCTTTCTGCCGGAGTCCCCCGTGGCCACTGAAAAGCCGGTGCTAAGGGGCGGGGCATCCTGAGAGATGGAGTGCCACATGGGACGGGGGGTGGCAGACAGGACAAGGGATCTGATGAAACCCCACCCCCCTTGTACTAGAGGAAAGTTTGTTCTGCAGAACTTGCACGGCCACGAGAAGAGGACGTGGTTTCCTCCGATTCCATCTCATTACTACACCCCTTTCTCCACACCACGTGGCATTTTGTCCCCGAGGACCCTCAGCAAAATGGGTAAGGGTCCGCATATCCTGTGCTGCTCCTACTCTTTATTTTTTTTGGTGGGGGGCGGGCTCTTCCCTAACTCTGAGCGCCAAAAGAGATGATGAAGTATGTAAAGCTGGGGGGAAATTAGGTAGCTCTGCTACTTGTGGTGGTGAAAAGTACCATCAAGTCACCGCTGACCGATGGTGACCCCTGGAGGGGTTTTCAGGGCAAGAGACCTTCAGAGGTGGCTGGCCATGGCCTGCCTCTGCGTCACGACCCTGGTCTTCCTTGCAGGCCTCCCATCCAAGTATGAGCCAGGGCCGACCCTGCTTCACATCCAAGCGCTGACGAGATCAGGCTAGCCCGGGCTATCCAGGTCAGAGCAACCGTGAGACTTACTTTGGTTCGTATCTCAGGCCTTTGGTGCTATGCAGGACACCCAATCCGGCACGCAGCCTTTCAATGCCGTTCCTAAAGAAAGGATCGTTGTGCAAATAAATAAATAATGTCATAAATAATTTCCGTAAGTAGGGGTAGTTCTTTGTTTGTTTTCCATTTCTCTGTCACCTTAAGCTCAATATGATATTGTTAACCTAACTTGGCAACAAGCCCCCAGTCAAGCTCTTCGGGGATTTTGGGAAAAGGCATGTTCCAGCTCTCCGACTTAACATACTTTAAAAGTAGACGGCGGTTTGAACCTGAAGCCTCCTCTAAGCTTTTATGTGACAGATGATGAATCGTCTAGGCCAGGGGTGTCAAACATGGGGCCTGGGGGCTGGATCAGGCCCCCGGAGGGCTTCCATCAGGCCCGGAGTGGAACTGGCTGTCTTCTGCTTCTTCTTCTTCTTCCAGTTCTGCTGCTGCTGCGTCATCGTAGGTTTGCAGCTTACAGATACACACCTGAACAGCATACTCAAGATTGCAATAGCACAGACATTTTGATGCAATAACTCAGAGCGAGGGGTGTCAGTCATCAGACACTGTTAAATAAACAAAATATTGCAAGAGTGCTGATGTTTTAAGCATGTTTTTAAGTAAAAAAAAACCCTTTGTGTTTGGGTCCTTTATAAAGTTTATATATCTGCTACCTGGCATTACATTTTATGACACACATGGCCCGGCCCAACAAGGTCTCCTTTATGTCGGATCCAGCCCTCATAACAAATCAGTTCGACACCCCTGGTCTAGACATTTGTCATTTCCCTGTAGAAAATGGTAGGTACTCAAGATATGCTCACATCTTACGCGAAAAAGGACATACTGGGAGTGAGTTCCCATGGCAAGGATACGCATTTATTTACTGAAGACATTTTTGTGCTGCCTTTCCACTCAACTTCAAAAAATGTTAAATCATTTCAGCGGTAAGATAGCCTTAAAATAATGCATATATACAACGATTTGATAAAATACAAATGCACAAACGCACCTAACACTAAATCTGGGAAGGAGGGACAATAAAAATTATGGGGGGCATGCCAAACAAAACAAAAAAGGTAACAAAATACAGAAATGACCCGCATGGCGGTATCTGTGCAGGGTTTCCCATGTGGCAGGTGTGTTTTGCCATCCCCCGTGCTGCATCCCAGTTGCACAGAACACTGTCAGGAGAGAGGCCATCTTAGAGGAAAATGCCAGCTAAACTTTCACTTTGCTGTTCTGTGGCTTGACTGCAGGTGCCAGCCCCCCCCTAATGATTACTAGCCAAGGTCATCTCTCAGGCCTGCTAATTAGCTCACACAGCTCGGCTGTAGAATCTCAGAAATGATGCTCATGTCCAGGATATGCCATGGAGACAGCCCTGTGATTGGTTGGATAAGTTCAGAAGGTTATGGCTGGCTTTTCTATAAAGTATAGCCTGTGATGGGAGAAGACAACATTTCTCCCTTTGCAATCCTTATTTCCGTCCACCTACCCTACCTGTGCTGCCTGAAGATAGCTGTATGTTCTGGAACACGAAGAGAAGAGAAAAGGACATTGGATTTATACCCCCGCCCTTCCCTTGGAGTCTCAGAGCGGCTTACAATCTCCTTTCCCTTCCCCTCCCCACAACAGACACCCTGTGAGGCAGGCGGGGGCTGAGAGAGCTCTTTCAAGGACTGCTCGTGAGAGAACAGCTCTGAGAGAACTTGTGCCTGACAATGGCGCAGCATTTCTCAATTTTATTGCCATTTTAAGGTTTTCGTTTGACTCACCCTCGTAGTGTAGACCACACTCCCTAATCATTTTTCCAAGGAATTTTGTGAATCATTTAGTACAGCACAACTCTACTGCCTTTGTAGAAAAGCCCTCTTGAATCAGTCAGTTTTGCATAGTTTGTGGGAAACAAAGATGAAGAAATAAATTGGTGCAGAGAGAAATTAATCTTTAATAATCATACAGCCCCAACGCATTTTGCTTGCAGCTTTGTCAGGGGAATCTTTCAGATTCTTTGTAGAAGAGGAGATTGGACGTATACTCCGCCCTTCACTACCCAAAGGAGTCTCAGAGCGGCTTACAATCTCCTTCCCCTCCCCCTCCTGTGAGGTCGGTGGGGCTGAGAGAGCCCTCTCGAGGACTGCCCTTGAGAGAACAGCTCTCTGAGAGAACTTGTGACTGGCCCAAGGTCACGCCAGCAACTGCATGTGGAGGAGTGGGGAATCAAACCCAGTTCTCCCAGATTAGAGTCCGCCCTCCTAACCACTACACCAGACTGGCTCTCTATAAGAAACCAAAATCTCTGCTGTGAGAACTGAGTAAGTAGTTAGCCAATACAGCTTTGCATTTTTTCTGCAGCAGGGGGAAAAAGCAAGAGTCCAGTAGAACTTTAAGGTGAGCCGTGACTCACGAAAGCTCACACCCTGCCACAAATTTGGTTAGTCTTCAAGGCGCTACTGGACTCCTCCTCTTTTCTACTGCTACAGACAGACTAACATAGCTACCCGTCTTGTTATTTTTCTGTGCATCTTGACTGCCGCTGAACTATATGTAATATCTATAAAATCCTTCCTTGAATTCCTTCAGCGAAGCCTCTTTTGTTTCATGGTGTTTGTTACTGGGGAGCAGTGTTCCCTCTAAGCTGAGCTAGTGTGAGCTAGCTAACAGTTTTTTAGCCTCTGGCTCACAGATCTTTGTCTCAGCTCAGGAAGGGATGGCTCCAGAGCAAACTAATTTATGCAGTAGCCAAATCACTTGCCCACAACTTTAATGCTAGCGGCTCACAAAAAAGATTTTTTTCTCACAAGACTCCACAGCTCAGAGGGAGCATTGCTGGGGAGTGACTGGAACCAAACCCATGTTAAGCTTTGTTCCACTACCACACTGAGGGAGGGGGTCAACCTTGACAATCACTGCAAGGAGAAACGGATCCTCGCTTACCATGCAATCATGACTCCGTTGTCGGTGCAGAGCCTGGGAGGCGGGCACAGCAAATAGAAGCCAGTGGCATCCGTCACGATCTGCAGAGTTTTGCGGATATACTGATTGCTTGCCACACCTCCAGAGACCACCTGGAACCAGTGTTGGGAGGAAAGGACCTTGTCAGCCGAAGCATTCTGCGATCTCGCAGTAACGCGAGAAAGAAACTTAATACGGGATTGCCATCCCTTGATAATGATTTCAGAATCACCCAATGCTCATCATATGTAGGGATGCCAGCCTCTGGGTGGGACCTGGGGATCCCCAAAATTACAGCTCATCTCCAGACGACAGAGATCAGTTCCCCCTGGGGACAATGATGATGATGATGATGGAGGAGGAGGAGGAGGAGATTGGATTTATACCCCGCCCTTCACTACCCGAAGGAGTCTCAGAGCAGCTTACAAACTCCTCTCCCTTCCCCTCCCCACAACAGACACCCTGTGAGGTAGGTGGGGCTGAGAGAGCTCTGAGAGAACTGCCCTTAAGAGAACAGCTCTGACAGAACTATGGCTTGCCCAAGGTCATCCAGCAGCTGCATGTGGAGGAATGGAGAATCAAACCCGGTTCTCCCAGATTAGAGTCCACGCACTTAACCACTACACCAAACTGGGGAAAGAGGATATAGGCGCAATCTGGATGCCCCACAGCAAACTGGATGGGATCCAGTGCAAAATTTCTGCTTAGGTTAGGGCTCTTGGGAGAGCAGGAAAAGATGCTGGCATTTACTTGCATGAAGTCAAGTCTTATTGTGGTTTTCCTTATGCAAGATGCTGAACAACGCATTTCTAGGCACTATACTCTATAGGGAGGAAAGTGCTAGATGCTTTCTTGCACAAGCAAAACAGCGCTAAGTACGTTTATGTTTCTGCTTGTCCATGGCTGGATCCCAGATGACTGCACAGCCTTGGACTCCTGGCGCTTAGGTATATCTCATTTCTTTCACATTAGTTAGTAAAGAATGATTCTAGCTGGGACCAAGGTGTTCAAGTCGCTGCTTCATGGAACTAAATGTACAATTTATTTTTTAAAAGGCAATCGGATGGCTTCTAATTATACAGTTGGAATTTGGGATAAGGAACTATGCAGAAAACACACAGTATCCAACTGCTCACTTACTAGAGTTGCATTGTCTTGCAGTAAAATGCCGTTCTGTACGCAGAAGAGAATGGCTCGGTGTGTCTGCTTGGCGATGTGAACCGCGACAGTGTGCTGAACTGCTGAAGCCAGGTCCGAGACGCAGGACAGGAGCTGCCCTTGCTGAAGGCCTGCGGAAATCAGGATCAAAATGGATTTTCCAGTTCTATGAACAGAATGACCTGCACAACCTGTACCAGTCCTCTTTTTTTGGGTGGGGAATACCTTCTTCCTTTTCTTTTTGCTTAATCACTTTGTTGACATTGTTCTGAAGCCCAGCAAAGGAAAAGTTGCAATTCAAGTGTCGCTCCATGGGGACTTTGAATCCATAGCACAGGTTATTTCCTCGTTGGGCCATGTTTTCTATCGCTTTCCCACCGTTCAAACCAGAGCACTCTGGGTGCTGTTGTAAAGAAAGCCGTCTGGCTACCTAAAAAACAAACCAACCAGAAATTAAAGAAATGCATATTAAAACATGAACCAAAAATACTACAAAGCCACAGGGAAAAAAACCTCTAACGCAGGGATCCCCATAGGGAGATAAAATGTATCCTTGTCAGAGACCTTTGACAACTGGAAACAATTCTGTTTGTCCATATTCCATTCTAACAGTAGCCTCTTGTCCAGACTACAGGTTACACATCAAAACAATCTAACATAGTGGCACATCCATTTCTTTTAAAACCAGCCATAACTTTTCATGATCCACTGGACTCAAACTCAGGTCTCACATCTGTTTGTTAACTCTTGGGCTGATTTCGCACAAGGAGCTGCGTCGCCGTCACGCCTCCCTTTGCGCCGTTTCCATTGGTCAATTTCCTACTCGAAGCCACATGGCCGCATTTTGACCCGCGGCTTCGCCCGATTTCCCCTGCGGTTTTGTGATCCTCAAAAAACAGGATCACGAAACCACAGGGAAAACTGGGCGAAGCTGCAGGTCAAGATGCAGCCGCGCGGCTTCGAGTGGGAAATTGACCCACGGAAACGGGGCAAAGGGAGGCGTGACGGCGGCGCAGCACCTTGTGCAAAATCGGCCTTGGAATTTGCATGCTAATTTACTGCTATTCACAGATCTTACCAACCGGCTTAATCCACTCTCAGCTATAATCGAGCAGTTACTTATGCATCTTGACACTAATTAGCCCTTCCTGGCAACTAACCCCCCATCCCTCTCTCTACCTATATGTAATGGTTGAAGAAGTTTTGTTTCACTGCATCTGGAGACGTGTGCATGCACACGAAAGCTCATACCTTGAATAAAACTCTGTTGGTCTGGACTCCAATTTTCTTTTTCATGATCCACAGACTCAAAACCTTTGCTGTAATCTAGGGAGCTCCAGCCTTTCTGATACCGCAGACACCGTTGGAATTCTGAAGCTGCGGTCACACACACGAAATAATCCACTTCCAATCCACTTTCAGCGCACTTTCCAACTGGATTTTACTGTGTGAACTGGCAATATCAAGTTGGAAAGCGCATTGAAGGTGGATTGTTTGGTGTGTGTGACCACAGCCTGACACGACATGGGTAAGCACAGCCACAAAATGGCGGCCACGGGAGGCAGAGCCAGCCACAAAATGACTCCTACAACTTGCCTTCAGTCACGGAGTGAAGCTCCTTGTGCTGTGGTGGCAGCCAGTCAAATCTCCAGTGGCCAAACAGAAACCTTGCTGGGCAGATTTGCATCTGACCCTGCCCACATTCTCAAAAGACTTGGTGGGTGCCAGGAAAGGTGGGCATCACACTGGGGGTCCCTGCTGTAACCTATGAAACACAAGCTTGTTTCCTTCTGAAATTCTCTTGTATGGTCCAGTAACCAACATAAATTTGCAATATGATCTTCTTTTTCTAAACCCAGCTTGGACCTCTGGCATATCTCGTTCCATATATGGTAACAGTCATTGTAGGATTTTAAGCATCACTTTACTTGAGTTAGAAATTACGGTGATGGTCTGATAGTTGCTGCAGCCTTCGACGTCTCCTTTTTTTGGAACTGGAATGTAGATTGAGTGTTCTCACAATACGAGACCTCATGGGCCCTCAATGAAATTGCTGAGCAGTCGGGTTAGAACAGATAAAAGAAAGTCCTTCTTCACCCAACGTGTGATTAACACATGGAATTCACTGCCACAGGAGGTGGTGGCAGCTACAAGCATGGACGGCTTCAAGAGGGAACTGGATAAACATATGGAGCAGAGGTCCATCAATGGCTATTAGCCACAAGGTATGGATAGGGACTCTGGGGCAAGTGATGCTCTGTATTCTTGGTGCCTGGGGGGGCAACAGTGGGAGGGCTTCTAGAGTTCTGGCCCCACTGCTAGACCTCCTGATGGCACCTGGTATTTTTGGCCATTGTGTGACAGTGTTGGACTAGATGGGCCATTGGCCTGATCCACCACTGGCTTCTCTTATGTTATGTTCAGCTTGAACCTCTGGCATATCTCATTCCATATATGGTAACAGTCGTTGTAGGATTTTGAGCATCACTTTACTTGAGTGAGAAATTAATGTGATGGTCCGATAGTTGCTGTAGCCTTCGACGTCTCCTTTTTTTGGAACCGGAATGTAGATTGAGTGCCTCTAGTCTGCGGCCCATTATTTCTTTCATACTTGTTGGCATATTCTTGTTAAGATTTTGATGGGCTTCATTTCTCTGGTTTGGAACAGCTCTATTGATGCCCCATCTACCTCTGGTGATAGGTTTCCCCCAAATGCTCTCAGTGCAGCTTTCACTTCACTTTCTAAAACTTCTTCAGAAGATTCTTCTTTGATGCCACATGTCATTGTTCCATCTCATCTGTGCAGTTCTGCAGCCGATGGTTCCCAACTTTTCTTTATTTTGTCCTGTCTGGTTAATATATTTCCATGCTGATCTTCCAGCGTGCTTTAAATTTCCCTTTGATTTCATGGATCCTGTGGGAAAGAGCTCTTGTTCTTCCTTTTTTGTTGTTTTCTTCTATTTCTTTACATTGGTTAGTATAATAGTTGAATATATATTCCACCTTGCAGCCCTTACAAGGGCCACCAAGGCAGCTTGCAAACAGAATGCTGCAAAACTTGCAAACAGAATGCTGCATTTGTTATGAGGGCCAGATCTAACATAAATGTCTTTTTGTCAGGCCGGGCCATGCATGCCATAAAACATAATGCCAGGTACCAGAGATAGAAACTGTATAAAGGACAGCAGCCTATAAGCGCCGAGTTAGTGTATCCTCACTGCAAGGCCCCGTGGGCTGGGAGACGAATGCAAAGGAAAACCCACATGGGCGGACTGGAGAGCCAGTGGTACAGCACTGGGAAGATGCTCCCACGATGCTTGACTGCTGCAGACGAGGTTGTTCTATCATGCTGAAACCACAATTGGAGTGGCTCCACCTACTCCCCTCCCTAAGCAGTTTTCTGTTCCCTCCCTTGCACTAGTTGCTCGCGGGCCGCATAAGAGTCCTGGGTGGGCCTTATGTTTGACACCTCTGCTGTAAACGATATAAATTAGTATCGCTGACAGATTTACTCATGTTAAAAGAATTACCTTATCCAACATGTCCCCCGGTGCAATGTCCAATGTTTGTCCAAGGAGAAGGAAATCTGAAACGCCTCGTGCGACTGCTAGTATACAGTGACCCCCAGAGAGCAAAAGTACCAAGAATGGAAACTCCACTCGGTTGGTTGCCCTGATGGTCAGCGCGTGAGCCTCCATGTGATGGATAGGGATAAACGGCTTCTTGTGCCTCTCCACCAGTTCTAAGCTATAGCCTAACCCAACGCCAAGGCTTAAGGCGAGTCCAGGCATCACTGTGGTTGCCACGGCTGAGAGATCATCCACGCCGACACCACTGGCAGAGAGCGCTTCTTGTACTATCCGTGCGATGTTTTCCTGGTGAAGCTGCTGTGCCACGGGAGGAATAATCCCACCTGTTCTAATTAGAAACAATAATGTACTTAATATTGGCATTGTGGCTCTTTGGTCCTGTTAAAAGAAATACAAACGAGAAAGCAAATGCCCTGAATAGTTGCCGTCCTTCTCCCACCCTCTGTTTTTGGGGCTGTTCTGCAAATTCGGTCCTCTAGATGCTCTTGGTTCAATGGGCCCCTGCCAGTCTGACTCTGGACTTACCCATGCAAATGAGACTGTACGTCAACTGCGGATCAATAAGGATTGTGTGGCACGTCATGGAACTTTTTCAGTCATTGGACAACTTGTGACACCACTGAACACAGGTTGCTAATACTGTGACGCTGGGATCCGCCAGACATTTAGGCTGTGGCCACACGGCATGCGTACCGCAATTTGTTTCCGCTGTAGATTTGATTGGGGATATTTTAAAGTGGGTTCAGATGATCACACATCCCTTGCCCAACCACTTGCTTTGCGTGACAATGCTCCAGGCACTGTCCAGACAGCCAAGTGGCGGCGCAGCACAATTTTTTTTTAAAAAAATATTTGCGCATCCGCATATGCGCATGCACACACATGTGTACAATGGTGAAAATCACACACACACAAAACCCTACTGGAAGAAGGACATTCAGACGACCTAATCGCAATCATTGCGAGAGATGGCTGTCCAGATAGGCAAATCGCAGATTCAAAGCGCAAGTCCCCGGAAAGTAGTTGATTTTCCCGGTGTTGGAAAACTCGCTAGGGAATTGGGAGGATCGCGCGAGTGAGCCCACTTTGGTGCAGGAGACAGATGTGGGCGTCTGATCAGCAATTTTAAATGCGAGAGGGAACAGCAGTGAAACCTGATCAAAATGAACATGTGATCACAGCCTTACAGAACCAAACTGAAACAGTATCTACTCTCTCCTGAGGCGGTATCTCAGTAGTGATATGTGGCTACCCTTAGGGTCCCAGAAAGTTCGGACTATTCACTGCCTTGTCTTGTGTAAATTAGAAAAAATAGAATTGAGTCCAGTAGCACCCTAGAGACCAACAAGATTTGGGGGGTATCAGCTTTTGACAGAGAAAGCCCCCTTTCTCAGATATCCAACATCCACTGTGTCACTTCTGACGGAACAAGCTCTGACTCTCAAAAGCTCGTTCCCCAAAAATCTTGCTGGTCTCTAAGGTGCTGCTAGATTCGAATATGGCTCTTCTGCAGACCAGCATGGCTACCCCTCTGAAACTATCTTCACTGTGTAAATTAGGTTACTGAACAGAAAGTAATGAACTCAGGTGGAATCAACTCTTATCGTTTGCTCCTTGACCAGATCCTGCAGTTTTGTGTGGAGTGGGCCCCACCTTCTGATCCATCCCAACTGGCTGAGCCCAAAAAGAAGAAAGGGTCCCTCCACCTCTCATTTAGTGTTGCCAGGTCCCCCAGGCCACTGGTGGGGGATGAGGGAGAAGGGTTGCCAGATCCACATTGAGAAACTTCTGGAAATTTGAGGATGGAGCCTGGGGAGGATAGGAATTAGGGATGGGCACAAACCAGGGAAAATTGAAAAGGTTCTGTTTAAACGGCTCTCGTAGATGGTGCATGGACCTAGAAGTGAACGCACGTGGGTGACTGTATGTGTGTGTTGAGGGGGTTGGGGGTAATGCTAAATTCAGTATTACCCCAGCCCCCCAACACACACATACAGTCACCTACATGCATTCACTTCCGGGTGCACATGCTGCCTACTAGAGCTGTATAAATTGAACCCTTCGATTCCCTCCAGTTCGTGCCCATCCCTAACAGGGACCTCAGTGGGGTACAATGCCACAGAGTCCACCCTCTAAAGTATCCACTCTCTCCAGGGGAACTGATCTCTGTAGTCTGGAGATGAGCTGTAATTCCATTCCGGGGGATCCCTAGGTCCCACCTGGAGGCTGGCCTCCCTACTCTTATTGCCTCCGAAACTGCAGCAAAAATAAACACCTGAGAGATTTTTACTGTAGCACAAACTTTTACAGGCATAATACATGCTCATGCCAGAATAAGACCTACTTAGTGTCCCATCCCCCCCCGCAATGCCACAAGATTCCTCATTTTTTCAACTTGAATAGCATCGGAAACTAACTTCACTCAGACCGACTTACTTCAAATGTACCTCGCCTTGAGAATGCAGTGCTTCGCCCAAAATGTTGCCCGTTTCATCCATCACGGCGGCCCCAGTGTCATCACAACTGGTTTCGATTCCTAGAACTATTTTGGTAGAAAAGCATCTGCCACACTGACGGGCAACCCTTCCCAAACTGTTACCCCAGCAACATTTAGCAGTTTTTGAAATCTGTGTTCCAACAGCGCTGGCGGATGAATATTTTTGCAGATAGGCATGCCTGGAAAGCAACTGTTAAAAAAAAGAGAGTTAGTCTTTAAAGTCTAGATATCAGTAATAAACAGAAATCACAAGCAATGCTCAAAACTTCACCAGTCCAGTCTGTTTCCTTCCTTCCCAAAAACTGTTAGTTTCAAGAGGAATCCAGGGCTGATTTTTATCTCTAAGGCTCTGAGGGGGTTAGGGGCCAAGTTATCCAGAAGACTGACTTCTCCTACACTGTCCGGCCTGCTAGTTAAGATCCTCAAATTCACATTCTGTTCTCTTCGCCACAGTGCCCTGAGGTGAGGTGAGCACCAACTAGAGACAGGGCTTTTTCAGTGGTGGTACCTCACCTTTGGAATGGTCTCCCACTTCAGGCTTGCCCGGAACCTACTCTAGTGTCATTTAGGTGCCAGGACAAAATATTTCCTTCTAGCCAGACTTTTAATTGAAAGTCTAGTCCATCTTTAGTTAGCTGTTTGTTTAATGGCCTGCATTTTGGAGCATGGTTCTACTGCTATTTTATGATCACCACTGTTTTATGATTACTGTTGCTGTTTCTGTTTTTATACTAGTTTTGCTGTTGTTATTTTTTAAACTATATTTTATTTCACATGCCAATAAAAGTTATCTATCTATCTATCTATCTATCTATCTATCTATCTATCTATCTATCTATCTATCTATCTATCTATCTATCTGAACATAAGAGAAGCCAATGTTGGATCAGGCCAATGGCCCATCTAGTCCAACACTCTGTCACACAGTGGCCAAAAATACCAGGTGTCATCAGGAGGTCCATTTGTTTCCATTCACTGACATCATACTGGTCATTTTGGAGAAAGGTTCTGGTGGGGCTTCCCTGCCCGCCCCCTACAGACGGGACCCCACTGCTTTTGCATAGCTGTAGCCCCCAGCCCCAGCCGACTGACAATACTCACCATGCCACGCATTGCAATGGCAACAACCCCCTTTTGACCAGCTCCGTGCTGCCTGTTCAACCAAGCAGGAAATAAAAAGATCTCCCCCCTTACTTTGCAAGCTCTGCTGCTCCCTACGCAGGGGACTGTTTTAAGCTTCAGGAACCACTGAAACTCTCAACAGGTCCGGGAAGGGGCTTTGCAGTGAAGTGCAAAAAGGAAGAGAACCCTCCGAGTCCTCGCAGCACATTAGCCTGACAACGGGTTTTATTAGTCATTCATATGGGGAGGGTGGATGGATGCTGCACCGCGACGCCTTCTGGGCATTGTAGTTCAGCCTGGCTTCCTGCTTCCCCTTGCCTGACTAGGCAGAAGGAAAGATGCACCGTTAAACTACGACTCCCGAAGTACAGAGCCAAGCGCATGTGCAGTTTGGCACCCAAGCCAGGCTTTACCCGCCCAAGGATAGGCGAGGGAGTGTTTGGTAATGTTTTCGTGTCCTGCAGGTTCTAGCTTTGTAAGCTGGAAGGGTGTGATTGGCTTGGCAATCGTCAGTTTTGCAGGTTGTGAGTGGAACGGATTTCAAAGAGCTGTTAGGGGTTTACAGCAATGTTCCCTCTAAACTGTGGAGTCTTGTGAGCAAAAATTCTACTTTGTGAGCTACTGGCATTAAAATTCTGAGTGAGCGATTTGGCTGCTGCATAAATTAGTTTGCTCTGGAGCTATCCTTCCTGAGCTAAGGCAAAAATGTGTGACCTGGAGGCTAAAAAACTGTGAGCTAGCTCACACTCAGCTTATTTATTTATTTTATTTATTTCATTCCATTTTGAGGGAACACTGGTTTAGAACAAAAGTTCGTAAGCTTCTGCAGTTTCCCCCACTCCCCTAATGCAGAGTCTCCTAGAACTGCAACAACTTTGCTATCTGAACAAAGTTTGAGTCCAGTGGCATCTTTAAGACCAACGAAGTTTAATGCTGGGTATAAGCTCCGTTCAGTTCATGCCTGTGCTCAAGCGGGACAAATTAGAAGGAATCTTTTCTCACTGTAAAGACCATGTTCCAATATTGGCTATTTTAATGTATTTTATATTTATAGTACTTTGTTGTCTGGTTGTTACCTTGTTATCAGAAATAAGGTGAGCTTATAAATATTTCCCATACCTAAGTAAATGGGGCGGGATGAGAGCCAATACGCTTAAACTCAGTCCACACAAGACTGAAGTGCTGGCTGGCCGAAGCTAAACTAGTTTTGAAGCATCGTCTCTGATGAAAGGGGTTTCCCACTTCCCTAAAAAGCAGGTTGGCAGATCTGTTTTTTCAGCAAATGGACTCTCAAGTTTCTTCTGTGGCATGCTCTTGCAAACTCCAGGTAGCATGTAAACTGCCTCTTTTCCTAGAGAGGTCAAGCAGCCTCTATTTATCCAAGGAAGTCCAGAAAGTTTGCTGGGGTGATTTAGGGCGTTCTGAAGCAGGTC